TTTGTCTCCCAGGTCTGTCACTGCTGGTGTCCGCCCTTTTCCGCTGGCCATGTAGCATCTCCCAGGTCTGTCACTGCTGGTGTCCGCCCTTTTCCGCTGTCTCCCTTCTTGTTGGTCACTGTGTCCGCCTTGTCTCCCTTCATTCTTTCTTTGTTTCTGGTCTTGTCTCCGATTCTTGTGGGTCATTGTGTCCGTCTTGTCTCCCTTCTGTTTCCTTTTGTCTCCCTTCTTGTCTCTCTTCTTGCTCATCATTGTGTCCGTCTTGTCTCCCTTCTGTTATCTTTTGTCTTGTCTCCTTTTTGTCTCCCTTTGTCTCCGGTCTTGTCTACCTTCTTGTTTCCCTTTTTGTTGGTCATTGTGTCCGTCTGCCTTCTTGTCTCCCTTCTTGTGGGTCATTGTGTCCGCATGTCTCCCTTTGCCTCCGGTCTTGTCTCCCTTCTGTTTCCTTTTGTCTCCCTCCTTGTTGGTCATTGTGTCCGCCTTGTCTTCCTTCTGTTTCTTTTTGTCTCTGGTCTTGTCCCCCTTGTTGTTGGTCACTGTGTCCGTTTTGTCTCCCTTCTTGTTGGTCCTGTCCGCCTTGTTTCCCTTCTTGTCTCCCTTTGTCTCCTTTTTGTTTCCCTCCTTGTTGGTCATTGTGTCAGTCTTGTGTCCCTTCTGTTTCCTGTCCGTTTTGTCTCCCTTCTGTTTCCTTTTGTCTCCCTTCTTGTCTCCCTTGTTGTCCCCCTTCTTGTTGGTCATTGTGTCCGTCTTGTCTTCCTTCTTTCCTTTACATTTGCCTCCTTTCTCCCCCTCTCGCTTGCAACCCGTCACATTTGTCTCCCAGCTGCTCTGCCCTGCAATATTACATTTGTCTCCCCAGCTCTGGGCTACGTGTCGCTTGCAATCCTTTACATTGTCATTTGTCTCCCGTGTCTCCCAGCTCTGGACTGCTGTGTCCGCCTCTGCCTTGCTCCGTAGCCATTGGCTCAAGCGACAAATTCCGAGCAGATCGAAGGTAAGAAGGAGTGCAGGAAAAGCTTACTCTGAGAAAAATCCGAGTCTTCAAGAAAGAGCCAAGCCGAAGCTCTCTAGTTCTTAATGGCTGAGCGCTCCTTCACAGAGTACAGTTTAGAGCTAGCCAAAAGAATCCAGACCGCGGCAAAGGAGAGGTCTGGTCCCTTCGCCGATGAAAAACATGCGGTCCCGGTCTGCTGCTTCCACTGCATACCGTCTTCTGGCCCGAATCTCCCAGCTTGGTGCTCTCTCACCCTTAGGCGATCTGACATTCGTCAGACTCCCACCGGGAGACAGTTAGAGGTTGACGCCGGAGTTGGCCGCTGCCCCTACTTGCAGTTGATCAAAGTTCGCCTGGTCGCTTTGCCATGCCTCGTCAAGCAATATGCAAACGGGAGCATAGAATAAACATCCCTGAATGTCTGTTGTAATGGCCTGTGTAAGCAGGCCTCCTGACTAAGTGCTCTCAATGCTGCCTGAAATAAGGCAACACCACACTTCAGATTGCTCACCGTGAGGCGCATTGGAAAATTCATTGCCCACTAGACGTCTCACTTAGGTCTCACCCTTTGTTTCACCCTTGCATGACGAAACTGAGTCTCCTTGCTTTCCTGGTTTTTCTGGTCTTTTTGTTTGGTTTTGTTTTTGGTTTGTTTGTTTTGTTTGTTTTCGCTCCTGTTGCCCTTCATGGCAGGAGACTCATTCACAAAACAGCACAAGCTGACCTGTGCATTTCCTGCACGTACGGCGGCTCCACTCGTGCAAAAAAATGTGTCCGCCTCTGCCTTGCAATCCTTTATATTTGTCTCGCAGTGCTGGGCTGCTGTATCCGCCTCTGCCTCTGCAATCCTCAATTTTACATTTGTCTCCCAGCTCTGACTGCTGTGTCCGCCTCTGCCTTGCAATCCTGTACATGTGTCCTTGCAAGCCTTTGCATTTGTCTCCCAGCTCTAGCCTGCTGTGTCCGCCCCTGCCTTGCAATCCTTTATATTTGTCTCGCAGTGCTGGGCTGCATGTCGCTTGCAATCCTTTACAGTTGTCTCCCTGTGTCTACATTTGTCTCCGAGCTCTGGACTGATGTGGCCGCCTCTGCCTTGCAATCCTTTGTCTCCCAGCTCTGGACGTCGCAAACTCTAGTTGCAGAGGGCTCCGATATTGAAAAACACAAACTGTTTGGGGTCTACGGTGGTGTCATTTTTAGCAGTGAATAGACAGAAGGATGCATGTGCAGATTATATATATTTATATATCCAATTTTTCCTTGCCGGGCGCCAGATCGTTGAAACTTAAAAAGGACTACCTGGACCAGACACTGCAAGTACCTAGAAAATGGGACATGGCCCTATCAAAACAGGTACTTGTAACATTATCTGATGTACTTTGAGACTCCAGGTACCTTTACCCAATTAACACAACAGCAACACCTATTTTATCAATGATTAGGACATTGATGGAACGTGTGGAATCTATTTTCCAGGACGTACCACTTGAGGGATACTTGTGGTACAGTGTGTACAAGAAAATGGGACTCCTCGACTCCTCAACATGTTCATGTTTAGGATCTACTATCCATTGATTTCCTGGGTTGAATCCAACAACCATTGTTTCACTAAGGATTTGGACTCTAAGGCCAGCTCAACTATGTTTAAAGCGGTCTAGGAAGGCTAGGCAGCCTGGATGCGTTTCAATTCAAGACTTGGTCCTTCGTCCCCAGTCTCGCGTGGTGGATCTCACATGGTAAATACAGTATACGGTACGTCGGTTTCTTTGTTTTTTTGAGGAACCTTTATAAGTAAGGAGGGAAAATAAGGCATGAAGGTTCCCCGCCCTCCCACACACAAAAACAGATATACACCAGCACTCCTTTGGAGGCTTTTGCAGACTGAAAAATCGCAGGTGGTGACCTGTGAAGTCGGGTCCTGGAATACACCGATCTATTCAACGAATCTATCTTCCCTGAGGGTGTTGAGATTCTCCACCCCTTTGGCCGCTCGCAGGAGCCCAGCAGTTCCGCGAGAGTTTCCAGGAGCGGAAGACTGGCCGTTCTGCGGCCGCAGTCCGCGTGGTGTGGTGCGCCACACGCGCGGTGTCTGAATTCTGGATGGATTCGGAGACTTTAGGGAACAGTTGTGGATGGAGCCAGGTATAGTCAGGTACCCTATAGGGCTCCAGTCGTACCGAACCTGAGGTTCGGTGGGACGACCGGGGCCCGGGTGCCAGTGTCGGGTCCAGTCATACCGAACCTGAGGAGGTAACCTTCGGGTCGGTGTAGGGGTATGGAACCTCCTTAAAGTCACTGTACCGAGCGTGGCATGGAGCATGGGGAATGGGGAAAAGCGGGGCGTGGGGTTCCTTTCGTTTCCTAAACAGAGACGAGAGGGGAACACCTGACATGACAGGGACCAATGAAGTGTTCAGATCTCAATCAACCGCCTGAAACCTGTTCAAGCAATATCAACGGAAACCCCTTCCACCAGAAACATTTGCTGATTTGTGGTGATCAGAAACCTCTTCAACCTCGAGACCCTTCACTCTTTGTTGCAAGGCTCTGGAATGTTCGCTGTTTTGAAAGGACATAAACCTAGTCAGAGCAGGGATTTACCATATTTGACTTTCCTCCGCCTCAAGTTTCGAGATTGACATAGATTGACAGTTGACATCGTCACCGCGCACCAATCGACATATATGCTGACCAGAACGTGCACACCAACTCATCATGAATCATGAATCATTGATATATCATTGTGTGTCTTCTTTTAGACAGTGCATGTTCCTTGTTTTTTTTCATGTTCAAGCACGTGTTTCCCCTCTGTTTTCCCAGATCCCCTTAGCCTTCAGCATCCCTAAGCCGCTTCGGCAGGACCTGCTGCCTGAGGCCTGCGAAGGCTTTGGCCGTCAGTGGCTGAGGCGATTGGAGTTGCCCTTGAGGGAGCCCATGGAGCGACGCGTGCGGAGTGCCGGGGCCTCAAGAGAGGGGGATCCCCGAGAGTCAGTGGAAAAACATGCAATAAATGATTTAACCCTATGGATCCACTGCCACCGAACCTCAGGTTCGGTACGACTGGGCCCTGCAAGCCTACATAAATAGTCGCCAATCACCGTACCTGAGAAGGTACTTGGATCTCTTAGGGTAATACAGTATACCCAGACAATCCATGGGACTGCCATACATGCCGATCAGTTTGGGGTGGTTGAAAGGGGGTTCATTGATCGGCAGTCCTTTGGCATACATGGAGTGTTTGGGATAGGACTCATTCTGTTTGAGGTCCTTTTCGTTTTAAGTGGTAGGGTTAGTAGGGTTGGCCCTTATCTTCCCAAAATGAATGGATGGTTGGGTAGGGACATTTTGGGATTTGAAACATACAGCGGTAACTCCTGATCTTGATGCCATTTTGGCTCAAGATCAGGGCAGGGATTTGTTTTTCGCCATGCCGGCGATTCGCCGCACGTCGCTCACGGTGTGGCAACCGGGGGCGCGGCGGTGGCGGCGCGGGCACAGGGGGAGCAATCCCTGCGAGTTGTCGGTGGAGGACCGACGAGCTGATCTGGGGGCCAGGTCAGCCTACATCGTGTCGATTTGGGACACGGTTGAGCGCCGGCCGGACGTGCAGGCTGACCATTGCCGCTGCTGTGGCGTACTTACAGCCTCTTGGTGCGAGGGCTGCTATTTCCGCCGGCCTGAGAGCTTTGGGGCGGTGTGCGCTGAGTGTGATCACCTGCACTTGGTCTGTGATCAGTGCAGGTTTGATCACATCTCTTGGGAGCAAGGTCATGCCGCGTACATCGAAGAAGGAGGCCAAGACACCGAGGACCAGGTCGAGATCACCGGGTGGGGTGACAGGGCCAATTCACCCCATTTCGAAGCTACCTCCAGCCAGGTCTCCATTGAGGAGGTCGCGCAGATCCTCGGAATCTCAGCCCAGCAGGCCAGAGACCTCATCAAAGAGCAGCTGTCCGGTACCTCCCAAGCAGCCTCCAGTGCTTCCACCGAGGCAGGCAATTCCTAGGCAGCCCATGCCCCCGCCTGGACCTCCTCCACTGCGGCTGCGGAGGCCGCGGTCGCCTTCTGTGTCGCCTGGGCGCGGCCGCATTCCGGTTGTGACTGTGCGCCAACCGGACCAGGCCATGGAGGCCGATTTGCTGGAGTTGGTTGCCGAGCGCTCGGATGAGTTGGTACAGCTATTTTGCCACCAGGGCGTCCAGACCTGTCAGGACGTGGTTGGCATTTGGTCCCATGGCGGCGAGTTGGTGACGGAGCTTGAGCACATCCAAGGCCCCCTGGACGCCGAAGAAGCATTCCAGGTTAGCGCCTTATGGACGCTTGCCGCTCGCCGGGCCCAAGATCACCACAGGCGCGTTGCCAGAGCGGTGATCGGGAACCGTGTTTCGGTCGTGGAGACCACGTCAATGGTGGTGGCACCTCAAGGCACAGGTCCCAAGGGACACGTTCGTCAGCTGCTGGAGACTGGGTTCCCAGGGCGACCACCAATGCTACTTGCAGCTGTGGCAGCCGATCCCCACACCAAGGCTGAAGCCAAGAGGGCCACCAAAACTCAGGCCCTCTTTGACCTGTTGCTGAGCGATTTTCTCAACATCGCCGAGCTGGGGGTGACCTGGGAAGAGTTGAGCGATCCCGTACGGCTGCAGCAGTTCAAGGATCAGATTATGCAGTCCACCGGACGCCTCACCGAGGCGCGGATTGGCGCCCTGCTGGCGGCTTTGAGGCGATGGCAGCGGTACGCCTCTGAGAAGGCTTTCGCCGTTGCCCAGCCAACACCGCTCCAGTTGGGTGAATTCTTTCGCGCCGTGGCCCAGGGCGGCCCTACAGCAGCATCATCGATGTTCCAGGCCTTGAAGTGGTTCAGGGTTACCTTTGGCTTCAACTTCAATACAGATCATTGGCTTACCCAACCCTTCAGGCTGCTCCCACCTGATCATCGGGTCCAACAGAGGACCGAACTACAGCCCTGGGAGCTGGTGAACCTGTTATTGATGATGAAGAAAGCATCAGGTACCCACTTGCTGATTTTGACATTTTTTGTCTGGGCAGCTATTTCGTGTGTACGCTTTGAACATTTTCAAAGGTCACATTACATTGAGAGCCACCCCCAGTGCCTGATCTTCGAGTGCTCCCAAGGCAAAGCTCGACGACGTGGAGCACGCCCTCCTTACTCGTGGGCTATGCCAGAACTGGAGTTCCAAGGGCTCAGCATCCACCGGATTGTGAGGGACTTCGTGACCATGGAGCTGAACCCCCAGTTGAATTTCCTGTGGCCGGCCCTCCAACTCAGCTCGGATGATCTCTGGGAGGTCACCGAGGGCACGGCATGGCTGGTGAACAGGAAGATGTCGCGGGGTCGCTTTCTGGAACTCCTTCGTGGCGCGCTCATCACCATGCAGGTGGATCATGCCCAGGCCCGGGGAGCTGGCTACAATAGACTGCGCCGGTTTCTGCCCACCATGGGCCTGGTGTGTGGCTTGCAGCCATCAAACCAGCAGGCCATTGGAAACTGGCAGGAGGTCCCCAGTGCCGGAGGCCCCGAACCAGTTCGTAAGAGCAAAGCAGTATGGTCAATGGGCCTTCACTACGCTGGACAGAAGGTGTTGCACTCCGCTGCCGTCAAGCGGGCGTTGGTTCAGAGGTTCCTCCACCTACTTCGGCGCAAGCTCCCGGAACTGGCCCTCAATGCAGATGGTCTCGTGGCCCGTGATGCCTGGACCTGGCCCGAGTTAGCCCAGATGAACGAGAGCTTTGGACCATTGGAGGCAGCATTGATGATGCCTGAGGTCCAGCCCCCATCAGAGACACCGCCCTTGGAAGCCTCGGGGAGTGCCTTGCCTGTGGCAGGCCCAGCAGACGAGGTTAAGACGGAGGAGGTAGACAACGTCACAACCCCGGTGGTGGAAGCTGATCCGGCGGCCCAGTCGGTTTCTTCGTCTACTACCTCCTCGTCCGCGTCGGACTGTTCGGCTATGGGCAGCGACTTGGAGGGGGTCCTGGCAGAGGAGGCGGCTATCACAGAAGCCAAGTGGTTCGTCCAAAGCCGTCGAGTTCACATTGTCAGTGGCGTGGTTGATGAGCGCCAGCTGCCGTATTGCCGGGATTCACCTTTCGCCCAAGACCCCAAGAGCCAGGGCGAGGGCTTCGGATTGGTTGTTCGGAGCCAGTTTTGCCAACGATGCCTGGCACGCATGCCACGAGGCCTCTATGCCTCCCTGGCTGACCAGTGCGGATGGTTGCACTGAGTGTATAAAAAGCCGAGGGGCCAGAGCCTGTGGGGGTGCTGGGTCGGGGTCGACGTGCGTCTAGGTGGGGTTCGGTTTTGACTTAGTCACCGACCGTTCCGACGTCGTTTATCCCAGTCGGTCGTGTTGGTTGGTTCCCCTACCCCCTTTCTCTTTCCCCCCTTGGGGCTGGCTTGAAGGGGGCACCTTCGGTCTGTGACCTAGTTTGGCCTCCCCGCGGATGCCACCGGAATGGGGAGGGTGTCGGGGCGTGGTCATTCGTTCGGACGGACAGGGTGGTAGGTCCGCGACCTCCCCCTAGGAGTTTGCTTTGTCGCAACCCAGCTCCGGGCTCACAAGGATCGTAGCTAGTTCACTCAAGCTTTCGTTTGTGGTGCCCCTACGACCATGAGCAGTTCAAGGTGCATTGATACATATCAGGATGACCGTGGATTGACAACCTGCTTCGCCGGGGCCAACATCCTGGAGGAGTGGAAGAGTGAGTTAGTCCACATCCACAAGTGGGAAACCTTGGAAGATTTTGTCTACTACTTCAATGAGTCTTCCATGGAAACATCATTGGATCAGGTACTCCAGCCCACCAAGATGAAGGACAACAGGTTGTTGCGGGCGCGGCTTAAAGCCGCCCATGCAGCTGGCCTGGAGGCCATTCGTGCAGCCGCTGCAGAAGCAAAACAGCCAGAGGCAGTTGATGAGACACTCCCCGAATCGACAATGCAACAACTTCACAAGGACTTTGCCACCAAGTATGGCGTGGTTTTGGATGCGTTCCTGGAACCATCAGACGCCCTTCGGTCCCGTGTTTATAGGGAATTCCGCAAGAGGACGATGTCGGTCATCAGTGTGGCAAAAGTCCGATCTATCCTCCACCAGTCGGCGCCCAAGCAACAAGAATCAGTCCGCCTGGGTGCGGGCGTTCAGCTTGAGTTTGCAGCCGATGACCATCGTATCGTTCGCACCGTGGTGGAGTACTACTTTTCACTACGCACTTTGGCTTATGCCTGGGCGTGGGGAGGTTTGTACAAGGTGTCAGACTTCGATGGCAATGAGAAGGTCTTCATGCCCCTTACCCCAGCTATGTCATATGCAGATCAAGCCCTACAATTCACCATGGAATTCGGGCAGGGCAGTCTACTGTGGTTGGAGCGGAATGACATCAACACACGCTCCAAGATGGCTTCCCTCATCCGCCGTGGCTACACAGGGCAATCTGCGCTGGAGGAGGCATTACGCCAAACCCATATTGACTGGCGCGCCCCGGGGGTCCAGCCAACCTTGCCTGAGGCAGGTTCCTCCCCAAAACGGCGCATGACGGAGAACGACCAGCCACAAGAGAAGGGTCCTGCCAAGGAGCGGCGCATGGTTAAGACGGACAAATGGCCCACTATCTCTATGTTGAAAGGGGGCCAGAAGATTTGCAAGCCATTCAATGATGGGCGTGGTTGCACCAAGGCGGGCTGCAAAGATCTGCATCAGTGCGATGTCAAGCTGAGCTCAGGGAAAGCCTGCCTGGCCAGCCACACCCGGCTTCAGCATGAATAGGGACAGCGCCCCCCGAGGGTCGGGGAACCCCGGGGGGGCCCAGGCGAGGTGGCCTTGAATGACCCACTTCAGGCTAGTTCGGCATCTTCTGAGGCCCACCGCTGCGTTCTCCTACGACCTGACGGCCACAGTGGCCACACCCCGATGGCTGACCGCCTGTACGGAGCAAAACCTATCACTTGGCGGGGCCAAGGGGATTTGCCTCAGTTCCCGTGGGCAAAACCTTTCAAAGGTACATGGTTGGTCCTGGACCTATGGTCGGGTATTGGCGGGTTATTGGTTGCTTTATTATCAATGGGAGTTCACTTCTATGCGGTAGCCGCTGAAATGGATGAGGAAGCGGCCCATTGCACCCAAGCCGTCATGCCCCAAGTTGTCCCTGTCAGACGAGTAGAGGAGTTGCGTGCCGTGGACTTCATCCCTATGCTGGTCCGACGTTCCTTTCGGGGGGTCCTCCTGGGAGGGGGCTCCCCGTGTCAAGGCAATTCAGCCCTGAACCGACGCCGCAAGGGGCTTGCTGACACACGGTCACAGCAACCGCTTGAGCTCCAACGGCTGGTGTCCGAATTTGAGCAGCTGCCGGCTTGTCAGGGCATGGAGATTGTTGCTTTCCTCGAGTATGCCTAAACAGGTTCAACAGGCCTATGAGACCTGGCTGGCGGGACCGCCCATCCTGCTAGACGCCAGTTCATGTGGCTGGGTGTCGCGTCGCCGGTTTTTCTGGCTTCGATCCCGAAGAGGTGTGGTTGGCCCTGACCACCCACCTCCAGAGTCGTGGCAATGGCGCACATCTACTTCTGGAGTGGCCGAACTGCGGTATGTGGGGAAGAAGCCTCTACCACCGCAGGTTTATTGGGACGACCACTTCATGCCCCTGCTTCCCCTCAGGTGGTCTTGCAGCAAGCTGGCAAGGGTGCGATGCATACATTCACTCGTGAATTTTACCACCCGGAGGACCGGGTCCCCGAAGTGAGCCCCGAGGCAGCTGAACGTTTCTACGCTGATCAGCGCCGTTTTCCCCCGGGGGCATATGAGGAGAATTCACTCCTTTGGCAGGGGCGGCAGTGGCGCCAACCGTCGCCTGCTGAGCGCTGCCGGTTGATGTGCTTGCCGCCAGCACTGGTAGCACCTGCTCGGGGCAACCAAGTGAAGCGTACCCAGGTCCAGAACTCCTTCATTGGTAATGGCTTCCATATTCCTTGTGTGGTGGCGCTGTTGGCTATGCTACCTAGTATTTTGGAGGCAAAGTTTGTGCCATCCTTCACCTCCAACGAGGAAGCAGCATTGGGGGCCAGGTTGCGGCATACGGTCTGGGAACCAGGCCGCCTGGCAGTCATGCCGGGTGTGTTGACCGCTACTGAGGTGTGCCAGGACCTGCGGCTCCAATTTGCTTTTGCCGACATCCCAGAGCGGACTTGGCAGCAGGTCCATGCCCGGTTGCAGGCCTGTGATCTGGCGAGTCTGCAAGCTTACCCTATGTGGAGGCGGCTCCGGCAAGAGCCTTGGGAAGTGTTGGGGCCAGTCCCTATTTGGGGGCGTATGCGGACAGCTATCTTCGCTGGGCTCACAGGACAACGCTACCCCAGCTCCTCGGCCAAAGGACTGGATCATCTTTTGCCCCCGGGGTTGGGCAAAGATGAACATGTGCAGCAGGCTATGCAACTCCCGTCACCTTTCCATCCTCATGATTGGCCTGAACCCGACGTCTCATTTGTGGTCCAGGCACTGGGTGTCTGGCAGCAGTTTCTCCCAGTTTACAGCCAAAGGCTGCGGCATACTCTGAAGGCTGTGGAAAAAGCTGTGCAGATCCTGAACCCGTGCCTTGCGGCGGTAAGGTGTACTAGTGCCAACAAAGTAGCGCATGTTAAAAAGCCTGCTTTTGTTGCAACCATGGCATGCCTCCTGCGGTGGCCGGACCGTGATATGGCCCGCCAACTTGTCCAGGGCTTCGCTATTGTTGGGTCCCTTCCGCCGTCTGGGGTGTTCCGAGGTATCCAACAAGCTGATAAACTCCCTTTGGCTGATTGGCTGGGTCCATCCGCCGAAGAGGAGGTACAGCGGTTGATCCGTAGCCGACCCCCCCTGCACGCCCCGGAAATTTTGGCCGTTACTCAAGATGAGATCATTAAGGGTTTTTGCAGCCCACTCCGAACTATGCAGGAAATGAATGATCAATTTGGCGTTGGTGGCTGGCGCGCAGTGGAGCGCTTTCTTATTATTCAGCCTGATGGAAAACAGAGGGTCATTGATAATGCCCGCAAGAGTGGCCATAACAAGCATACCTCCATGCAGGAGACCATTTCGACCGTTAACGTTGATTTTGTTGCCTCCGTTGCTCGCATGGTCAATACCACCTTGGAGACCCTTTGGTCCGACCCTCCCGATTGGCTAGACTTGAGATTGGGCACAGATGATTTGCCTGATGCCTATCGAGGCTTGCCAGTCCAAGACGACCATTTGCGGTTCTCCAATGTGGCCGTTTTCGTCCCTGACGAAGGCTGGCGGTTTACCACCATGTACGGGCTGGCTTACGGACTAGAGAGTGCAGTTGTCAGCTTCAACCGATTTCCCCAGTTGGGTATCGCGATTGCCAGACGCTGTACCCTGTCTCTCTGTGCTGCTTACTTTGATGATGAACTTGCGGTTGATTTTGTTCACCATGCGGATGTCTCGCAGCGCGGACTCCAGCTTGTTTTTCAACTTATGGGAGCGCCACCGCAAGCGTCCAAATCATTTGCTCCTGGGCGGAACCGCCACTACCTTGGTACATCAGTACATGTTGGAGATTTTGTTTCTTTGGGATCGATTCGGTTCCAACCCAAGTTCACCACCCAGAGAAAGGTATTGGCTAAACTTCACCTTGCTCTAGCTACCAACAGTCTGTCTCCAGACGACGCTGGCAAGCTCAGAGGTGACCTCAACTGGATGTTTAGCATGTGCGCAGGCCAAGCAGGTAGGATCGCTGGACCTACGCTAACTGCTTTACAGCATGCTGACTCCCCTAGTCTCTCCCCTGAGGATGGTGTTACCCTCCGGCTGTTGGTCGAGTTGGTCACGTGCCCAGGACCTCGAGATGTTGCTGTCAGGGCGTCCCCGCGCCAACCAATCCTAGTTTACTCGGATGCGTCCTTCGAACATGAGGTCCTTCGAGTTGGCTGGGTTATTTTTGGCCAGTCCCCTCGCCCACAAGGGGTGACCTGTGTTGTCCCCCAGGAGGTGATTCAGTCCTGGACTGCCCGCACGCAACAAATTTATCCAGGTGAAACTCTTTGTGGACTTTTAGTACCTTGGTTTCATGGAGCCACCTTGCGACACCAGGATATCTTGTGGTTTATCGATAATGAAGCAGCTGTGGCTTCACTTATCCGTGGCTCCAGCTCCCAGATCGATGTCCATACCCTGGTTCAGGTGGCCCACTTCTTATTTCAACGATTTCAAATTCGTGTTTGGATCGAGTGGATAGACTCTGAGAGTAACCCCTCTGATGGCCTTTCACGAGACGGAGTTTGTGATTCTTGGACAAGATCACAACCCTGGGATGTGTCAGAGGTTAGCTACCCGGAACCCCTCCGGTCCGTGTGTCACCCTGCACACCTTTCCCGCTTTTTAGAGTACATGGACAGTGGGTGATGCGAATACAGTGGGTGGTATGTTAAGTTCATCTATGATGACTTTCCAAGCTGGTCAGT